ACATATTGGGACGAGGACGCCCCTCTCCCTGAGGGGGACGAATGTTACGCGCACCGGCCTGATGTGGGGGACGCCCTACTAATGGTCCTTGGTGTGGGGGACGCCCTACCCAAGATCGTATAGTATTCCTTGTCCCACGGTAACCATTATACTTATATGGATATGGGAGTAGGAGGGGTGGTCCCGCCTAGGTGCCCTGTAAGGACCTAGGTGCCCGGCGAGGTGGGTCGGCAGCTCAAAGAGGGCAGGAACCCCACACCTACAGTCTTTTCGTATCACCTGACCCATGGATCTAAACGATGTTTTTGACTTCATAGACCTTTGAGGAGCTGTTGCGATGGATTGTGGAGTTCTGGACAGCAGTTTCAAGGCTTTCTACAAGGAAATTTGTGTGCGTTGGCTGGTGGTTAGTCATCTGCTGCCCGTTTCAGACATCCATCTGCTGCGGTTGCCATTTTTGGTGGCGATCATCCTTGTGATAAGTGGAGTTTCATGAGGAGCCAGTCCGCGCGAGGGGGGACATCTTTGTCGTTCAGTGCGCTCTCAAAACAAATGGATTTGAGACTGTCGACATGGACCAGCAGGACATGAATATGGGAGAGACTTATGCGTGGTTCCCATGGCGACCATCGGAATGTGGAATGGCCGCTGCGCCATCAACATGGGTTGGATTAGTAGGCAGAGCCTTCGCATCGTTTCATCTTCCACTGCGGTGCACGTCCAGAAAGTCTACCGGTCATCATGATGGGCGGATTTCAACACTAGCCAATATTGCGCTGATATTTCAGTGTCCTCTTCACTTTTCTGCAATGCTGGGCGGCTGTCCATGTCAAGCTAACTGGTCTATAGTGTGGTGACACCCAGTGAGCCGCCTTTTGTCGGTCATAGCCCATCATTGGGTGACTTGGCTCATTGACTAACGGCAAATTTAACACAATTTCTATCGGGTCACATCCAAACATGGCATTTCACATTATTCTCGCTGTCCTTGCACCTCATACTCTACTATTTATGTCACATGTTAGCGTGCTTCCGCAAACCTCACAGCACACTCTTCTTATCCTCACATAACCCCATTTCAATGCTCAGGTAGACTTCACTCTTTCGTCACCTTTTCAGCACACGCGGAGCACCACAATCGAATTTGTGCCACGACCTGAAGGATTCACAGGAATATTCGCTTACACCTACGGCTCCGCCTGCCCTTTTCCCGCAACACAATGTACTGCTCACAAACAGCACTGTGATGTCACAGAAACACCGCAAATCAGCCTAGTGATATTTCTTGATTCAATTAAAGGACTGGCAACTCACCCAACGCATCAGCAACAAAAGCCCATAAATTTTCATGACCAGATGCTTGATGTTTCCATGCATTGCAGGTCGCATCCCCATTGGGCTATCAAGTCTCAAAGAACCACGTAAAATACATCTGCCTTAGGCAGGAGAATTGGAAAGAAATTACATCACACTTTGCCCGAGTCTGCTGTGAGTAAATCGTGCATCTATCAGCCAGAAAATCCACGTCAGATTTGGCGTTTTGTCCCCTAACAGCCATTGAGAAGTCAAAACTATTTCCAGCAAGCAGGCTTGGTTTCTACGCCCTTAAAACTGATCGTATTTACGTTTTTACGCGTAAAAATAGCTTTGACGTTCTTATGCATAAAATGCGTAAAAATACGTAAACACAACGCAAAAACTGCCCGGTGTACATAAGGACAGTGCATAAAGACTTACAGCATCCGGAGAGTGGCCGCCAGACGTTCTGGAAAGGTCTGAAAACGAGTTTTTCTTAAGCACCATTATCGCCCTTGCCAATGGCGAGGTGGACATTGTGTTGCGGATTCTTGAGATGGCGGACAGCTGATCACTGTGCGCAACTTTCATCACGCAACCTGTGTGTCCCAGGGAGGGGTAAAAACGTGGAAACAACCGTAAGAATAGTCCCATTTGCAAATTTACGTTTTTACGGGTAAAAACGTAAAAGTAAACACGTAAACGTAAACACGTAAACGTAAACCTAAAACCAAGCCTGCCAGCAAGCAACTTGAGAATTCCTCAATCAATTAGAGCAGGACTTCAAATCTCCGATTCGCCAACGTATTCAGCATAGGCTCGCAGCAATTTCCACAAATGTCCAGTCGCACAATAACATTAATCACACAGATTGATTGTCATCTTGCTTGAAACTTGGTAGCATAGTCATCAATTGCGTAGATTGCCTTGCAGACGTTGTAGATTTGTTGCTACACACATCAACACCTTGGGTCAGTTCCAATTGACCACCTTTGATGGAAAACTTTGCCGACGTTAGCAAAACCTTCCCGTCTGGAAAGGCGTTTGGGACGTACAATCTCAGCCCTGCAGCGTCCCGCTGGACGCCCACGGTGGCTGTCCTGTCTGCCACTGTGAGTACTTTGGTGACAGTACATCATCTGGCCCCACGAAACCTGTCACCAGTCCCCATGAGACCGTTGCTGCGTTGTGCCGCCACCAGCGCTGGTGCCTCTCGCCGTTTGCACATTCCACAAGCCGCAATCCCGCGCAGCCCTCGAGGCCTCCACCCGGCCAGTGGGTCCATCGGCGAAGGTTCGCCACGAGTAGCAGCCATCGCCGGTCCCGCCGATTGCCGTCGGTGCTCGCAGCTCCTCGATCCCGATTGCTGGTGCGAGCCAATCGACACGCATGGCAGCTGCCGATCGGTTCAGATCTATCCGTCCAGCAGTGCTGCATTGTCGGGAGCAGTTACCGAGTGAGGACGCAGCTTCGTGAGCCAAGCACGCGCGTCCAGAGGGGTGCCGCACAGGGCCCAGTGCGTCACGTCACTTCCTTGGATGCAGGACCTTCCGTGGTATCGGTATCGTGTCCCGTATCTTGGTAGAATTGGGCGCACATCGCGATACCCATACGTCTTGCCACATTGCCATCTCCGTATTCTCCTTTTATATTGGAGTTCGTCCCTTTGGAGGAGACTAAGGCCTTTTCTTACTTTTGTGGATTTCGCCATTTCCTAGCCATCTTTCAAGGCTCACAGGTCGCCAGCTTGCCATAAATTTCACATCATATATTGGCGACCCGAACACTTGCGGATTTTGCATTGCAATGTTCGGAAGTGTTGTTGAGTCATGTTGAGCCATTCTGGCATCGACAGAAGAATGGACACCAGGAGTGGGCAAGATTTGTTTAACAAAACTGGAATACATGCCAAAAGGAAAATAGATCATGCAAAGCGCACTCCTTTCTAAGCCAGCGGCTGCGAGCCTCTTTCCCTGATGTGGAACGATCATGTAGAGTCTCCGAGTGTAGCAAGATGAGCACGCAACACAAGCAACACAAAGAGCAAGAAACTTGCGCTCAGGAGGACGCTAGTACCAGGAGTCTTAGCCCATGGTCGAATCTGGTGGGGAGAGGATCCCGTCAAGCAGAATCTCCCTCATCGACTGTGGCCCAGTGTTCATGGTCTGTGCTCACCTGCACAGTGCCCCAGGCCACGGCCGCCACCATCGGGCGCATACACACCCAGCAGCACGATACCAACAGACCCTGCGGCAACAAATTCGAGAAATCGACAATGGCAGAATCTCCAAATCCGCAGCCCCAGGCCCCCCATCCAGTTGACAGGCGAAGGCCGCAGAACCGGGCGCCAGTATTGCGCCAGATCGGGGGGATCCCAATGGATGGGCCGTCCCATCCATTGGCCCCCTCAAGGTACGACCCCCAGTGCCGGACATGCAAGTCCAAGGCCCGCCATCACTAACTTGGTTGATGTTGACAGGTGGGCATCCCCACTTCATCGTCGCCAGGGTTGGGCCGCGGCGAGGAAGTGCCCCAACAGGCGGGGAGGGGGCAGGCGAGCCGGGGCTTCGAGCCGCCCGTTCGGCGCGGGAGGCGCAACACACGCCGGGTCGGCGTCCACCCAACGATGGTGAGGCCTATGCCGCCCCCTGAGACGCCCCGCGATTGGCTCCCGTCGAGCGACGCCAGTTTTCCGCCGCCTCTTGTTTGGCTGTGCGCTATGGCGGGGAAAGCAGCCGATCGCCCAGCTTGTTCAAATATCGACGCGTGCGCCGCGACGATGCGCTCGAATTCGTTTGCTTGCGCGGGAGCCCAACAGGGGAACCCAACCAACCCTGCTGGCCTTGCCTCTGACCTGGGAGAGCAAACTCGTGCGGCTAAGGGACGCGGGGCCACGCAGCCCCCGAATGTGCCGAAATTACCCATCATGACCTCCGCCTGCATTGGCACCGCATTGCTCTCGCTGTCGTTGCGCCCAAGCGCGCGAGGGGCAGATGCTGCATCGACCCAAGCGCGGTTGTCGTCGGGTGAGGCGTCGCGCTGTTGGACGGCCCGAGCGCGGTCGCGTCAGCAGTCCTGGACCCCGCGCGGTGCGCAGAGTCGCGGATGTGGCCTGCAGCGGGGTAACGGGCTCAGCAGAGGTTGTATGCCGGGCTGTGGGCACCCTGGCCACTCCGGGGAACAGCAGCGGGCTGTGGACGCTGCCGCCACGGCGCCCCCCGCACCCCAAGTCCGCCTGCTCAACCTTGGAGCCCAGTATTCGGGAGATAACGGCAGCAACATGGTCAACATGTTGTCAACGCGCGTGTGGTTTTGCTGGGCGCGCCATTGGACGCCCAGCTGATATGCAGGCGCCGGCCCGCAGGGACAGGACCGCGCGGCCCGTCCCCTTCGCGTTCGTGTTTTGACCTTCTTTGCTCTGGCTTCTGTTCCCGCAGGCGAAGGGTACGGCATGCTGCGTCGCGCTCCACTGACGGGGTGCCTCGAGGGCCCAAGCCCGAAGGAGAGGCGGGCGTCGCCTCCCGGAGGATATCCATTCCGCAGGGCCTTCTCACATCGACTGAGACGAAAGCGAACGGGCTGACGTCCGCTCTACGCTTGTCCTGGAGCATCGGCATCACTTGCAGGCCTGGCGCCATTGAGGGTATTCTGCGGCCTGATCACTGCCTGGGGCGTAGTAGCCCCAGGCCCCGTCCGCGGGAAGAATGTACACACTGACTAACGAAGGCGGCCTGTCCCCGAGGGAGCCGGTCGACCGAATGGAGCCAGGGATATCCGTCGCATCCGACGAGGCTGCACGGCCCGTGGTGGCGCCCTGCCACCGGCGGGCCATGTCCGAGAACCTGGAGCGCGAGCTGCTGTGCGCGTGCGGGGCCAGGAAACGGAAGGCGCCATACTTTGGGTGCGAGGGGATGCGCGGCGGCAATCGGCACAGCCCCTCGCCGCTGGGCCCAAGGAATGGCTTCTCCAGAGACTGGAGGCACATGGTCGGCATGGACAAGGATGCGAAGCCTTCGCATGGCTTTGGGGCGGATGCCAGGGGCTTGGCGGTGTGGCCCCTGTGGCGACCCAGCTTGGGAAGTCCCAGGGATGCCGGGTACTCATCGATATCGGCGAGCAGTGACAGCCATTGCTTCTCATCTGAGCACCAGGAGGGGCCCTCCAGCTCGAGCGTGTCGAACTCGCAGGTCCAGAGGCTCAGCCAGATGCTGTGGTCTGCTGGCTCCGTGGGGTCTGTTGACTCCCTTGTGGGGGCCATCAGGACGCAGGAAGCCCTGGATCCCAGCAGGTCGGTGGAGGAGGAGTGTGGTTCGTCGACATTGAGCGCTCAGGATCCATGGCTGCCTGATGTGGAGCACTCGGAAGGTTGTCGTGTGGCGTCGCCAACTGATGACTCCAAAGTGTGCGTTCCACCTGTTCCTACGGAAGGCGCCAACTGCAGCCATGCAGCATCTCAAGTGAATGGCTGTCAGGGGTGTCATGCGACTTCGTCAACGGATGCCTTTGAAGGGAGCAGTGCAAATATGCCAGTGGATGCCAATGAATGCAGCCATACAGTATCGGAATGCTGTGAAGGCTGCCTTGCAGATTCCCCAGTAGATGGCTGCAAAGGGAGCCAAACAAGCTCAGTGGGAGATGGTTCTGAAGGATGTCGTGCGGCTTCGCTGATAGATTGTGCAGAAGGGATCCAAGCAGCTTTGTTAGTACAGGATAACGGGAGCAAGGAAGAGCTCGAGAGGATGCCAAGCATAGTGCTCGGCAGTGGCAGCTGTGAAGCAGAGCCGGAGAAGCTTCAGCTGTGGACGCCTGGAGGCCATCCTGATAATGTGAGGTGGGAACCATGGATGGCAGAAGAAGACACACCAACGACCCGCTACGCAAGTGCGACTTCCAAGGAAGGGCTACAGGAGAATGATGAAACGAAATCAAGTGTTGTGCTCGACAGTGGTAGCTGCGAACTGGAGCCGGATAACTTGAAGCTGTGGATGTCGGGTGACGTTCCATTAAGATTGGCTTGGGAGTCGTGGGTGTCTGATGGAGACACGGTGGGAACATGCTCTGTGAGCTTGACTTCAAGGAGCGGCAGAGGCAGGGGGTTGGTGTGTGAAGACGATGATCAGAGGGAAGTGGACAGCGATGAGCTGTGGACAGCTCCGCGGCCCTCCGATTCCTCCTCCAAGGTGCAAGATGTGACTGGTGGGGGCACCAACAAGGAGGAGTTGCAGAATGACGTGCCAAAGGTGTGTGAGAGTCCATTGGGCAGTGTGGACAGCGTTGAGCTCTGGACAGCTCCGTTGCAGTCAGATTCTTGCCAGGCTGATGTGGTGGCACGTTGGGGCATCAACAATGAAGTGTTGCAGGAAGTTGAAACCGAGTGCAAGGAGCCCCATGCCCTGTTTAGATTGGGAGAGGGCTCAGAACAAGAGTCTCAGTTTCAGCTGGAAGTTGGCAGCGCTCAAGCCCAGAATGATGGGCAGCAGGGTGAGGTGCTAAGTGGGAAGGATCAACCAAAAACTTTCATGGTGTCAATTTTGGACTCTGGTGTCTGCGATGAGGACGTCGATTTCGAAGCCATGCACATGGGTTCTGTGGGAATGGAAACAGAACCAGCCGGACAATGTCTGCTGCTTGAGGAACAGGAAGTGGGTGTGCGCAGACAGGGGAATTTCAACAATGGGGTGGCTGGGAAGGGCAGCTTGACGGTGGCAGGGCACCACAGAAGTAACACCAAACCATGGGCTGGCAGGGATAGCAGTGAGGATTCTCCAGGTAGTCTAGCAGGGAATCACCAGGTGGGGCATTTTGGCAGGATCAAATGTCGTGGGCTGATGATGGGAGAGGTCTCAGAGAGCAGGCCAGACTGGGAGGAAGCTAACGAAGGTGAGGAAATTGAGGAGCCGCTGACAGCCAGGGGCCTGGTGACTTCTGGCTCATTCTCTGCAGAGGCACAAGGTGCAAGAGGGGGGCGGATGTCACTGTGGGAGAACATCGACCTCACAGATCCCAGCTTTTGTTCTGAGTCTGACAATGTGGAGTCAAGGGGTTCCTCGGTAGATGGGTTGGAAGACCGGGCGGTGATGGCGAGTCACAGGTCTCCAGGATCAACATTCTTGGGTAAAGCCAGTGGGGACGCAGATGCTGAGGTGAGCATTGGGATGAGTGACGACAGTGATGGATACCAGACTGCACAGTCACACCAATCGGAGAGTTGCTCCCACAGATATGGGTATCCAGGTGATCGTGCCAGCGCTCATGTGGGGTCAACTTCATGGGAACAGCTGCAAGAGGCCACAGCAGCGCCCAACACCATGAAGGTGACAAGGGGCAATCCTAGAGAGAGAACTGAGGTAGACTGTTACATTTATGAGGACGATACAGATCATGGGTCACAATCACCCATGACAAACGCATCTGTCACTCCAGTGAGCACAGCTCCCCACCATCACCGGAGTTCGACTGGGAGCACTTCTTGGGAGCGAATGGATGATGATCTGATGCTATCAGGTGGCACAGTGAGGATGGATGACACTCTCATGCTTTCAGGAGGTACAGTGAGGGGTCTAAGTTCGGACAGTAGCCAGGACGATGATCAACGCACCCCAGTGTGGAGTGTGGGGTCCAGAGAACTGGCAACGCTGGATGCCAGGAGTCCACCATGGGGGGAAACTTGTGAGCCAGAGATGGCAGACATTACAGAAGTGTGCGGAGGGTTCACCATGAGTCACCGTGGCGATCCTCTGGAAAGCCTGTTGGATTGCCCCTCTGCAGTTGGGCACAAGCGGCTGCAGACTGTGCTGGAGGAGTCTGTGATGTCTGAAGACATGCTGAGCGACGATCATCAGACTTGTGGAGACTCATCGAGCAAGGAGCTGGATGAAGGAGTGGTGCCGGGAGTGACACCTCAGGGACTGCAGGATCAGGGACAGGAAGAAAGATCCCCACAGAGGAAAGAGGAAACTGCACTCAGGAGGTTCTTCTGCCCAGATTTCATACGTTGCCGAACAGCCAGGTCGCGGAGTGACTCAGTTGCAAGTGGCACCAGGTCTGCTTTGGATGGCCAGGCTGTTGACCTGCAGGCCACGCTGCTGGACGTAGAAGACAGATGCAAAAGCGCTCCTTGCAAAGTAAGTGGCGTTTTTGATGGCTTCTTCAGCATTGATTCAGAGGTCTCGGAATTTTTTGTCCAGCCTGCATCTGCATTGGATGGAGAGGCTGCACCCAGTGACCGTCCAGACTCAAGACAGAGCGACCCAAGTGCAAGGGGCAGCAAGGAACAGAAGCACGAGACATCCTCAGAATCGGCTAGCCCGAGCATCCTGCGGTGGCTGAGGTCGAAGCTCACCTTGAGGTCATCACCAACCTCTTCTTCAGAGGGTACGTTGATCGGCAGTGTGTCCGAGCAGCAATCCACCATGGAGAGGAAGTCAAGCAGCTTCCGGACAGCCTCTGACAAGGGCTCTGATGCCACATCCAGCATCAGTCTCTCGGACATGCCCGCCCTGAGCTCACAGGGAGTTGGTGGCCCAGAGATGTATGATGTGGTCCTCAACTCGGACATCTACGAATCCAACCCGATCGAGTATGGACCAGAGGGGCCAATTCAGCTGTACTCCATGATGAGGCCCAGGCTTAGAAGCCTGGGAGTGAATGTGGACAAGTGGGATGCCTTGTCTGGCCAACCTGTTCCTGTGATCGACTTCTTCGACTGCATCCTAGAGGAGGCGGACAACATGGGCATTGATTTGTTCAGCATTATGGAGGAGACAGCTGGTCAGGACCACTCCCTGGTGATTGCCATCAGGGAGGCCCTTTACCGGGCGCCACTCTCTGAAGATGGCGACAAGAACTCATCCAACAAATTTGAAAAGGAGGACGACCGTGGGTCAGAACAGTGGCAGATCGAGGTGGAGAGCAAAAATGGGGCCCCCACCAACGGTTCAGGGGAACAGGAGGACCTGGGAGTGGGAAGATACTCCATGGACGTCCTTGACGCCCTGTCAGAGTGTGGCATCAATGCTATGTTCTTTGACAGGTACTGGTGCTATGATGCTCTTTGTCAGTTGGGCATCTCAAGTTCTGCACACCACATCGCTCTGCCACAAGTGTTCTTGAATTAGGCATCACTTGATTATTTGGACACTGGAACACTGCCAATGCTTTGGGGTTAGTGCTGACCTCCTGCTCCAGTCATGCAGGTGAAAAAACTGCAACGACAGTGTGGCCTGACTCTTTATGTGTATTGTGCAAGGGACATGAGCCAGTTTGGATCTGAGGCTGAGTACTACTGCCACATGGCCGACTGCTTGAAGTCTGAAGGTGTAACACTGACACCAGCATTGGTGGAGCGCCTTGGTGAGACCCACCCGCTCTCAATGGCAATGGTCAGTGAGCAGTCAGTCGCCTTACTGAAAGGTATGGATGCCCCAGCACCCCAGCCGATGAGAATCACCATGCAAACATCTTTTGGTGCCACGTTATCTTCACATGGCTGGGAATGGCAGAGATTTGGTTTAGGCATTCATAACCATTGAGGAATTTGGCCACAGTGTTCACTTCTTACAGAAGTGCAAAGAAGAGGTATTTGTCAGGTATATGTCAAGGCACCACTTTCTGTGCCACCCAATCAGCGAAAGAAGCAAGCATAGCTGCTTTGTGAGGTACTGCTGCCTTGGTCCTGTTGCCCAACAGGCAACACTGCTGGATTGCTTCACAGTCCTGCAGGCTGTGCTGGTCTGATGGTAAGCGTTGAACAGAGAAACTCTTCCGATGCCAGCGTCCCCGCATGAAGCAATCAGCCCCTGCTCAAATCAAGTCTGCACTGAGCACAGTGCTGAAGCTCATCAGCCTGCTTGTTATCCATGGGCGGGACTAGAGCAGTTGCAACTGACTCGCTACCCTAACATTATCAGCTGTGCTGCCACCTTCATTGGCTTTCTCTATATGCTAGTGCTGGCATCGTCCTTGGTCGAATTGTTTGTTTCAGTTGCGTTTTTCTCACACATCGCACTGCATTCTGTTCAATGCGGTTGTGATTTGGTAACATCTGTGTGTGTGTGTGTGCAGAAGAAGCACATGAGAACAACAAACTGCCACTCCTGCTTCGCATTAGAAACTTTGTAATCTACACGCCCCCCCAGCAAAGATCGGTACCACGGCGATCCTGTTTGGCTGGGTGTGGTTGCGGATTCGGTCGAAGTGTTTCAAAGAAGATGTCTCGTCGACACGGCAGCAGGACTCCACCTCGCGACTGAAGTTATTTGGATGTTGCATGGCATGTTGAACGATTGAGTTTCTGGGCCCAGATTCTGCCGATGGGTAGAGGAGGGACGCACGAGTAGACTGGCCCGCTGTGCTGGTGGCGAGGAACTGCACAGCGTGGGTCTGGCACCGATTCTTTCTTTTTTGCTGCCGCGATGCAGTGGCAAGCCTCATCTAAGAATTCTGGTGACTGGACGGTGGGAACTGGTCAGCCATACATGCCACGTAGGAGCCTTTTTGTGTGGGTTAACAAGGGCCGGTAGTATCTTTCATTTGTCGACTTTTTCACAGAGCAGGACTGCTTCACACCAACTTTTATTTGTCTGACTGTTGAGGAACGACGGTGGTGGTGGCAGGTGGATGGGGGGGGTGGTCTGGTACAGCGCGCTTTTGAGGGCGTTTGAGTGCCTGAGGGCGTCTGTATTCTGGTGTGATTGTTTTTCAGCCCTCGACGCCCATCCTTCGTGGGTGTCAAGGGTTGGGCCGCTTTTCGTATTTTGTGTTGGGATTGACCTGGCATTGGTTTCGGCCACTCGTGCATTGGACCTGAGCGGGTGCCGAACAGGCACATGCTCCAAGAGCGCGGATTTCATGCTGACGGAATGAACCTAGTCCAGTTGAATGACTCAGCGATGCAGCTCGGTGGCGTGTGGCCTGTGGAATAATGGGACTTCCTGACATTGCTTCTTGTGAAGTAGCGAAGGGCAGGAGTTTCAGCGCCGAAGGATGCCTTGAGGGGTGTAGTTATTGGGGGGGCAAGCGGCGCGTTAGGCAACTTCTAGCCCCTGGATTGGGGACGGTGTCTTGTTTTCAAGCGTAGCATAGCAGTACTTGAGACTCGTGGTGACCTGCTGGGGGACCAGAACATGGCTTTGTTGATATGCTACTTTATTGTTTGGGTATGCCCCATTTGTGCAGGATTTAGGTAAAGCCGATTCAGGCGATGCTGCGCCGCACAGCTGAGTTGTGATCGATGTAACTATGTGGAATGTGATGTGGTGCCCATTCGATCCATATAAGGGACCATGCTGTGCCGATTTTGGTACCCTTCGTGTCAAACTGAAATTATGCTCTTCTTGCTCTTCGCACAATGTTGAAGGACTCGGTTTGTGACCGCCATTTTAAAGCCAGTTGATCACGGTCCTTTTGAAATGCAGCTCCTTTTGAAACAAAAAATTACACAGTGATTTTCACAACACCACCACCATTACAATGATAGTTCCCTCAACCAACCCAGGGAGGACGATCACTAACACCCTTGATCCACTCGCCCACACTACCAAGTGCAAAGAACGGCGGTCCATTCTGGCCGTCGTCCCCGGAGATAGCGCAGTAACACCACCCTCAAACGGGCAGCTGAGACATGTCGACAGCCTCAGCACCACAGCAGTTGAGGGTGCACTCAACGAACAAGCTTCGCCCCTCGCGCGAGCCGGCGCTTCACGAAGAACTGCTTGGCATGCCGACACGACCAACAAAATTGAGGCGACGGCAAGGAGAAGCTTCAAACGGGTAGCGAAACCCCCAACTGCCAGCCAGCCATGCAAGTACGCTTGTAGCGCCTCTCACAGCTGCTGCTCTGAGCGCCGCAATCGGTCGCAACCGCTCCTCAACGGTCGACGAAGTCAAAACGGAGGTCGGGTCCGCGGGTCAGGGCTGCCTCGTCCACTGCACGTCGGCGTATGATACGGGAAGCACTTCAGTCCGCCTCGACAAGGCTGTGCAGCGACGAAGGGTGGTCGCTTCTGCAGCAAAACCGCGCTGGCACTGCTGGTCTTGAGCGGCAAGGAAAGCAGCTCAGAAAGGGCACAAACTGGCCGTGACCTTCGAAAAGGTCGAGCGCTATTGCGCTCAGGCTGTGGCGAACATCGCACACAGGGCCAGGGGAGTCAGGCAGCCAGGCCGAGCGCCTAAACCGCCGCGCGAGACACACATGGACCCCACGCAAACGCTGTTACAATTCAGAGTTCCCCTTCGTGCTGTCCGCACCCCTCCAGCAAAAGTACCACCCATGCCTAAGAGATGCTCTTTTGATACCCAGAATCTTTTTGACACGCCCGCCGCTTCACCACAACTCAACCCAGGACGCCCCACTGGCCACAATCAGCCACCACGTGTGTCCCAAGGGCCACATTGCCACCAAGCAACCACACTTCCTGTGGTCAGCAACCACGCTATGCCGCACTGGGCATATTCCCATCAAACAACCACGTGGCGCCTCAACGCACCACTCCTGGATCCGTCTCGCCACGATTCACGGCTGGCCGCCAGGCGGGCTGCCCCTGAACAAACGCACATGTCCAGTGGCAACCTGGGTGTTCCTTAGGACTCCAGGGCGTATTTGGGGTATGTATAGAGCACCCCTGATTGATGTTTGGGGGTTTCTGCCTCATTGAGCGCCAGCCTACTGGACGATTTTCAGTATGGCGAAGGTGTTGAGGCTGTCGACATCCCCTCTGCACCAAATCTGGACCTCACGGGTCGCCAGCTGCGTGATATCATTTATGCACTAACGTTTTTGATGAACCCCATTAATTGGCGACCCGAACATGGGCCCAATCTCGCCACTCCACTGCGTAAAACTCCGAACATCTGAATTCGTCTCTCGCCCAACCTTGGGGCAGTTCTGAGAGCTTCAAAACAGAAATTGGCTATCCAAATAGACTATTGATCGCCTTTCAGCTGCATCTCCCAAGCTTTACCACGCCTTGTTGCAAGGTGCACTTGCCTTCACCATCAGCAGTTCACCATCATCACCATATTCTAGCGCTTCTCTAGGCCTTTGAAAAGGGTGCAGCTCCACCGACTCATCTCCCTTTTCGGAAGTTGCGTCAGAAAAATTCAAACCATCATATTTGACAACTTGTCATCAGATTCAACATGTTCTTCTTCGCAACCCATCCTCTCCGCCTTTTTGGATCTTATTCCCGATCATCTCCAACAGCAGAATCAAACATGCTGAGATGATGATCCATCATCCGCTCTTCTCTTCTGCTATCAGAATTTCAAATCACACTGTGGTGGGCCCATTTTCCAGGTCATTTTCTGCACTTCAGCATCAATCAAGATCACAAACACATTTTGTGATTCCCAAACACAATCGCTAACTCTGCCCAGCGAGAAACGAAGCCAGACAGAGTATCATGTATTTTGATGAGCACAATGCTCTGAGCACGCAAAGTGGCGATCTCAAGCAATGGCTCGATCGACATTTCCAATAGCTAAGAAGCTTTCCAAAACCTCTTCACCGACTCTCAAACACAACCAGAAATGAATCCTCGTTGTTTCCATCATGTCTGACATGCAAAACGTGCACGTACAGTTCATCTTTCTGAAGCGCCAAATCAGAATCACCAAAAATCGTACATCTATCCATATACCCAGTGCTCCAATGAAATTTGCAGCTGTAACTGCCGGCAGAGAAGAAAATGTCCTCGCCCATTCAGCTCAGGATCATGGCAACACCTCCAGAGCATCGCACGAAACCGGTCCCTTGCCAACGAGCTTTGTCCATTTACAGCAAATCAGTCAATGATTACCTTCTCCCTTGCAGCCAAGTTAGGATTCCTCGAGCCCCCGAGTTCAAAGTAGGAAGGTCATGTGACGCCGTAGTGTAACCCAGCAGTGATCAGTTCCGCGGAAAACTGATGCACTAAATGAGCGGCCGCACCTCCTCAGGTCCCCCGAAGTCAGAATCAAACCCTAGCATAGCCAGGGCGTTCACCATTGCTCTCATCACTGACCCTCTCACGAAACAGCGCAATATCATTCTTGCACAATTCCAGCAAAATCTCCAATCACCCACCAGTCATCAGATCTCTTGAATCTACCGACTGACTGCACATTTTGGGACACTCCATGCTCAACAACTTCCAGCAGCCTGCCTTTCAAGCTCACTTACTTCTCCGATTCCAACTTCACGAATGCCACAACAGAATGCTTGAACAATGCAGCTGCTTCCCACAGTGCGAAATTCAACACACAGTTGTATATCATTCCAACGAAAGATGTCATTGCATATACGGTTCCCAGTCATCAACAAACCCTACGCCATTGATAGCTTCCTGCTTCACAAAATGCTCAGTTCTTTTTGCCCTTAACACTGAAATCTGCACACTTCAAAACCTTTCCCGTTCTAATGTCCTTGAGCTCCTGTGTCATGCAATTCACTCCAATCAACGCTGACGTCAGTGTGCGGCCACAGACAATAGGAAACTTTACATCAGGAGACACCAGAAAATCCGCTCCTTGCTTTCGAAACTTCCACCCAAACGTGACAGAAGTTCGAACAATTCCTGTCACCTTCCTGTGCTTCCCATCAATTGCGATGAACCTTGGCATCTTAGCATTTCTTGTGTAGCCAAAACTGTGCTTGATGATGGCCCTCTCTGGAAGGATATTTGCTTGAGACTTGGTATCCAAGAGGCACTTGTCAAACGTGACATGCCCCACAATCAGCTTGGTGAACATTGAAGTTCTCCTCAGCAGCGCCATCGAATTTGCTGATGTTGCCCCTCTCATCATAGCTTCTTGCCCAAGCTGAACTTCTTGATTGTAGTCCTGAAGCTGTTTATGCCAGCACTCCTCAATTCTGTGTAGCCTTCTCTTGCAAAATGGACATATTCTTGAAAGCACATCTTCCTGGAGCCCACTTGATGGTTGCACAATCTCAGCTATGTGTCTTGAAGCTCTTTGATCAACGATTCTTGTCAGCTTCTGAAGTCGCTCTTCAAAGCGTTCCATGCATTCATCCAGCACTTCAGCCTCCCTTCCATCGCCATGGTCAGCTTCACCACGATGCAGACCATGATTTCCAGTGCACATGCATGCACAAAGACCACAGGAAAAGCATAGTGCAGTTGCAACTGCGATCATCGCTGATTCAAGGCCACACAGCTGCTTTGGTGTAGACGCAGTATCAATCAAAGGAAGCACACCTCCAGCCACGCCCTTCTTCACGATTTCCATGTCCCTGGCTGCCCCAAACATCGCCACCATTCTGGCTGCATGATGTTGCCATTCCAGCTCCTCCTTGGCCTCCATATCATCACAAATCGCTGTCGATTCAGGCAGTTCCACAGCAGACGTAAATTCAACCACTCCCCAGCTCGCGGTCAGGGCCAGGACCAGAACTTGCGCTCCGAAACCATGCAAAGAACGGCGGTCCATTCTGGCCGTCGTCCCCGGAGATAGCGCAGTAACACCACCCTCAAACGGGCAGCTGAGACATGTCGACAGCCTCAGCACCACTGCAGTTGAGGGTGCACTCAACGAACAAGCTTCGCCCCTCGCGCGAACCGGCGCTTCACGAAGAACTGCTTGGCATGCCGACACGACCGACAAGATTGAGGCGACGGCAAGGAGAAGCTTCAAACGGGTAGCAAAGCCCCCAACTGCCAGCCAGCCATGCAAATACGCTTGTAGCGCCTCTCACAGCTGCCGCTCTGAGTGCCGCAATCGGTCGCAACCGCTCCTCAACGGTCGACAAAGTCAAAACGGAGGTCGGGTCCGCGGGTCAGGGCTGCCTCGTCCACTGCACGTCGGCGTATGATACGGGAAGCACTTCAGTCCGCCTCGACAAGGCTGTGCAGCGACGAAGGGTGGTCGCTTCTGCAGCAAAACCGCGCTGGCACTGCTGGTCTTGAGCGGCAAGGAAAGCGGCTCAGAAAAGGCACAAACTGGCCGTGACCCTCGAAAAGGTCGAGCGCTATTGCGCTCAGGCTGTGGCGAATATCGCGCACAGAGCCAGGGGAGTCAGGCAGCCAGGCCGACCGCCTAAACCGCCGCGCGAGACACACATGGACCCCACGCAAACGCTGTTACAATTCAGAGTTCCCCTTCGTGCTGTCCGCACCCCTCCAGCAAAAGTACCACCCATGCCTAAGAGATGCTCTTTTGATACCCAGAATCTTTCTGACACGCCCGCCGCTTCACCACAACTCAACCCAGGACGCCCCACTGGCCACAATCAGCCACCACGTGTGTCCCAAGGGCCACATTGCCACCAAGCAACCACACTTCCTGCGGTCAGCAACCACGCTATGCCGCACTGGGCATATTCCCATCAAACAACCACGTGGCGCCTCAACGCACCACTCCTGGATCCGTCTCGCCACGATTCACGGCTGGCCGCCAGGCGGGCTGCCCCTGAACAAACGCACATGTCCAGTGGCAACCTGGGTGTTCCTTAGGACTCCAGGGCGTATTTGGGGTATGTATAGAGCACCCCTGATTGATGTTTGGGGGTTTCTGCCTCATTGAGCGCCAGCCTACTGGACGATTTTCAGTATGGCGAAGGTGTTGAGGCTGTCGACATCCCCTCTGCACCAAATCTGGACCTCACGGGTCGCCAGCTGCGTGATATCATTTATGCACTAACGTTTTTGATGAACCCCATTAATTGGCGACCCGAACATATTATATAATAGCAGCTATTATTACCAGCAGGCAATTACCAGCCGCTCACTTAATGCTCATGCAAGGATTGCGTCGACACCACACAACACGCAGCCTAGGCTACAGAAAAAATGCCGTGTGCGCCCTCTGCTCTTCGATCATCAGATTCAAATAAAAAACCTGCCACACTTCACGTAGCTGCCATCATGGCAATTCAAGTTAAATATATCACTCAACCAGCGCACCCATGACCATCCTATCCATGTCAGCACATGGCAAAACAAATACCACCTCTGTTGTTCGTTCAGCAAACGGGTCATATTGCCATTCTGGATGTCACGTGCCACTAGAAAAATATAGAACCATCAAATGTTAGAATAGAAAAGACTCGACATCACACATCTGTGCAACCCATCTCGAGCCGTTTTCACATCATTCCGACTTTGAGAACCCTGCCAATTCAGACGGTCTTCCTCGCAGTCAAAGTCTGAGTTCAATGCGCTGGCGTAGTGCATGCCCACGGCTGCGTGCACATTGTGCTGCTCTGGCCACGGCTTAATTGGCCGTTAATGAATCATTAACATCAGATGTTCAATGTCCCTTGTTGTCGATGATCTGATCCTCAATGTTGCACCCCAGTCTGCCACGGTCTATCAACTGAATTCTGGATCACATTCTGGGACTCACGGGGCGCCAGCTTAGCGATCGTGGGCAGACAAATTTGACTGTCATTATGTTAGATTGGTCCCATTTACTGGGGACCCGGAAACCATCCATGGCCGGGCTTCATTCAAGCCCACGCGTGCCACATTCTTCACGACACGCAGTACATTAAGCCGCGGGTGCGCGCTGCCCAGCAGCTGTTCGGGTTTGTGTTAGCGTTCGGGTCCTCGAGTTGGGCGGTCGGCCTGTTGGTCAGGCCACTGGCGGTGTGGATACGAAGCGCCAAGCCGCCCGGCTGCACTGCTTCCGCCTCCACCCTCTTTTCTCTCCGCAGGGCAAGCCTTTGCTGACCGACCTCAGGTGGTGCACGGCGGTCGTCGGGTCGGTGTTTGGCGGCCACGGGGAACACTAGCGTTCACCCTGGGGGAGCGATCGTCGCCGGAAGGACCTAATCGTGTTTTGGAGGCGGGTTTGAGGTTGATTAAGTCACGGAAAGGGGCGAGGGGCCGCCAGTTTTCCCAGACGGGAGAACCTTTGATTGAGCAGCAGCATCGAAGGTGGTCGGGTGTGTTTCGCTTCGCTGCACATGCGGCCTCCCTCGCCCACCGCGCGGTGCCATCCTTCGGTTTCCAGTGTGGCTGCATATTGGGCACCTGTTACTTTTGGAAATTTTCTGCTTGTTGGCAGATGGGGTTGCTCTGTGTTGGGGCCAAGCTGTTGACGTCGGGCCCCCGATCTCCATCAGGGGGACTCAGCATCCCCTTTGCCCCTTTGCTGCATTGCGAACTGACACCGTGGGTGTGGTGTTCAGGTGCCAACACAGCGAAGTGGCGCCAGGTGGCGTGCGCAACTGCGCTGCTCAGAGGGGTTCAAGCTGCTCAAGGCCCCACGCTGGCTGTTCATCAACCTGCCTCTTTGCGTCCTTGAGCCGCGGAAGTTCAATCGGAACACAGGTCAGCAGTCTTTCCAGCGCGTGCTCTGTGCAGGGCTCCAAGTCCCGAGGTACTCGGCAGTCAGCCATTCCTGGGTCTTGTTCCCACGTGCTGCGTGGTCTCTGGAAACAATGTTCTGCATGTACATTGACCCCAAGCTTTCTGGCTGCTGAGATGAGGGTAGCTTCAACCCTTATTTGCATTCTTGACACCCTGAGGCGATATCGCTTGCAATGGATTGTTGGAAGAACGGTTCGTGCAAATGTGCGTCAAAGCTGGGCAGAGTTATATTCTGTGCCAGTAGCCATGAATAACAGCCCAGTCTTCCTACTTGCAGGCACTTTGCTCTTCTGTATGCTGTGATTCGTTGTGGTTTAAGATCCACTGGGATGCGCTTGGCTGACATCGCCCCATTGGCAGTGGGGTTTACATTCTTCTGTTTTTACAAACCTGTGCAAGGAATCAGCCCTTGGAAAGCATTGTCAAATCAGACGTTTGCTTGTGATCAGGGCATGCAACACATTGATGCTACACGTGCACAGGGGCAGCTGCGCTGTTCGGTTGGATTTTCAGTTTCTTACCTTGATAGTTTGGTCTATGTGTGTTCAAACTTGCTTTCTGTGCTCCCCAGGGACACGACTTTGCCTGTCGAAAACAGCCAGATGGAAGAGCTCGTGTCGAAAATCAAGGAGAAAGTCAAGGCTGCCAATGACAGTCTGAATCACGCAAGGTACAACTCAACGATGCTGCACAGGCTGTGTCAGGAAATGATGAAGATCGTAGGCCTCTTGGTGCTGCCCACTGAAGATTCTCAGAAGGACTGCTTGATGTTTCTGAGAGATGCTGCAGCAGAGGCTTCTGTGTTGGTGAGAGAACATGCAAGGCCATTTGACCTGGGCACATACCTCAAAGTGGACGATGTCAGGCACAAAGTGGAGTCCTTGTGCCTGACGGCCAGAGCGTGTCTGCTTGAGCTGGGCCTGGAAGAGGACAGGGTGGACATCAGGACGAAACTGGATGCCAGTGCTGTGGAGGAAGACAAACAGTACACGTACTGGTACCTCAGCTGCATATTGCAGGGGACTGCTGTGGACAGGCCGCTGTCAGCAGAATCTAGGCGTGAACTGGAAGCGCTGATTACCAGGCAGAGACATCGGATGGAGTTCGTTAACATCATACAAGAAGAAGAACTTCAGCTTGAGGGGCAGATCGGTGAGGGTGGCTTCGGCGAGGTTTTGAAAGCTAGGTGGCAAGGGAGGGCTGTGGCTGTGAAGAAACTTCGAAAGGACCTCAGTCCAGAGACACGCGCCGGGTTCTACACTGAAGTCGGGTTACACATCCAGCTGCAGCACCCCAGCGTGGTGCGGTGTTTTGGCGCAACCCGGACAAATGCAATCGTGATGGAGCTGGCTTCTACTGACCTGGAGAAGTTCGGCTGGCAGAATGGTGCAAACCTCACATGGCGGCAGAAGGTTCAGCTGATGCTGAGCGCATGTGCAGGCTTGAAGCATCTTCACAAGCGCATGGTTGTGCACAGGGACGTCAAGACCTGCAATTTCTTGTGTTTCGAGGGTCTGGCAGGTCACCTACCCACTGTGAAAATTGGGGACTTTGGTCTGGCAGTTGTGAAGGCGGAGACGCGGTCGAAGATGGGAGGTCCACAGCAGGGCACGGTCTTGTGGATGGCACCAGAGATCATCGATGGAGCCCCCGAGAGCTTTGCCTCCGATGTATTCAGCTTTGGATTGGTCCTCTTTGAGCTGGTGACAACATCACAACCCTACAGGAACCTAACGATGCCCCAAACCAAATTGAAAAAGGAGCGTGGGGAGGACCCATGCATGATTCCAGACAGTTGTCCCAGAGCCCTGACAGAACTGCTGAGGCAGTGCATCAGACCAGTGCCACAGCAGAGACCAACGATGGAGGAAATTGAGAAGGGGCTTGACAATATTCTTAAAGAGGTAAGGACCAGTGTGAAGGATGTTTAGGAAGGTTAAAGGGTTGTCAACAGTTCCAGTTCTGTTTGAATCTAGCAAGGCTTGGACATTCTCACTGAGGATGTGGCTTGTTTGTGACCTGCTTTTCATCCCAACTGGTTTCCATCAAAGATGCAACATGGTTGTTTGATGCTTTGCTGTGCAGGTTGGGGGCGCTATCCAGGAGACACAAGCTGAGGTGATTTGAACGCATGCTTCCCCCACTACGATTTTTGCCCCCTCAAACAGTTGGCCCGCAGAGCACTCCCCAATCTGAGCACTGCATTGCCAATTCTGAGGGCAGCCAGTCTCTGGCAGCCTCGACTTGCCTGCTCTGCTACAAGTGTGTGTCCTGCCTAGTGGAATATTTTGGATTGGCAGTACCTGAACTGGCCAACATACACCCCTCTCGTCGCCCACCTAAGCTCCTCAATTGCCAGTGCATAGGAGGGATATAGCCTTACTACTTCCTACCATTACTTATTAGCAGTATTAGTTGCACTGTCGCACATTAAGTTTGAAAGCAAAAGCTGTTACAAGGACAGCCTCAAAATTACAAGAGGAGGTCAGAATCGGAAAGGTTGGTTACCAAAAATCTTAGCTACCCATTTTTAACAAGAAAGAATGAGATCGGGCCCTTCTGAGCGTTGGGAGAAAAGAAAAGGATTGGTGGGTTTTGAGCGAAAAGTTTCAAGTTTACTAGGCGGAGGACGCTCTGCCAAAATCCGCAGTACTTAATGGATTATCTTGATGTTGTGACCGCATACTCCAAACTGACAAACACAGCTTTGTATGATTTTCACTGAAGAAGGGAGTGCCACTGATGGAGAAATAATGTGCCAAAAATAGAGGACACCTAATATGAGCCAAGGAAGTATGATTTTGCGAACTGCATTACTGAACAAATAACTGTACAGCAGTATCGCCAACAGAATAACAGTATTGAGATTTCACAAATCTTGGCCTCTCCACATCTGCAGAATTTGTGTTGCCTGCATTTTCCTACCTTGACTAAAGCCCAAGCTATGCTGGCTGCTGCCTCCTCCAACCCTCCCACCATCATCCCATTTTGATCAACAGTTCATCAAAATGATCAGGCAGAGTTACTATATCTGATTCACACTCTTGTTCCCCCTACATCCATCTGTGCAGTGTTGACCAACCATACCTGCTGTTGCCTCACTGCCCCACTGGCTTGTTACCTGCCCTTCCCAAACAATGGTCTCCATCAACAATGCCTGCAACATACACCCTTTCAGAAAGAACCAGTACTCCCATTCATTCACTTTCAAATCTAAAGTATGGGTACAGATGAACTTGTTGCTCATGGTAGTAAACAGAAGCAGCAATGCTCAGAAATGCAAATGACTCTAAGGCAATTATCACTGTGTTTTGACCATGCAAATATCTGCTGGACGTTTCCTGTGGTTTTCGTATGCCCAGGAGTCATTGAGATCTGACTCCAGAATGCTTTGGGTCTGGGAGCAGAATTCACTGATAACAACATCATGGTTCAATTAATCAAGTTGTCGCAATTACTTTCATTCACAGAGTTTGCTTCTTAATGTTAAATGTCTTCTCATTGTGAGCACATTCACAATTGCGCGATTGTTGTGATGTTGCTTCAGCTGAACGCTGCCTCTGAGCAAGCTTTACATGAAAAGGATGATATTGGTGATATGCCTCAAGCTAAGAGGGTATGTTTGGAGCACCACCGCCAACCTGAGGTAAGTGCTGCACTCAACCACCAAGCCCACTATCATTGATGTGAAGAGCCACTCCTATTCTGCTATTGTAGTATCAGAGCTCTATTTGTTTCTGCTATGCTTCGTTTGCAGCCACGAGATTGGCTCGGTGCGTTTCACCATTGGACACTGCTCCCTCTTTGGGCAATCAACAAAGTGCATTTCAGGATCACATTAGAGAAGTGAATAATGTACTAGAAATGCATTTAGTTTCAGGAAGTAATTGCTTCCTTGAGTGATCAACTACTTTATTACTTGGAAACTGTTGCCACATGTGCACCATTTGATGTCTGCACAACAAATGTAGCACACCTCTCAAGTTGTGGCACATGGGGATAGGATTGACACTACATCACAAGCCACAGGTGCAACTCTATCATTGCTGTAATCGAAGACTCTCACCAACTAACTAGTGCCACGCTTGTCCAAAATGGCATCAGATGCTCCTTCGCTACTGATCCATTTTTGTCTGTGGCCCAGATGGATCCACTGACAGCTGCCAACACCACAATCAACCATGCACCATGCATAATCGAGCTCGTT